CAAGGGGTCGCGAAGGGCCGTGAAGGGGCCGTGAAGGGCCGCGAGGGGCCATGAAGGGCCGTGAGGGGGCTGCAAAGGGCCGCGAGGGGCCGCGAAGGGCCGTGAGGGGCCGCGAAGGGCCGCGAACGGGGGCCGCGAAGGGCCGCGAAGGGGGCCGCGAAGGGCCGTGACGGGGCCGCAAAGGGCCGCTAAGGGGCCGCGAAGGCCGCAAGGGGCCTCGAAGGGCCGCGAAGGGCAGGCGCACGGGGCGCTGCTAGGACAGAAGCTAAACGCGCTTCGGGCAGGTAAGGAAAAAAAAAAATCGTAGTGGTGGGCCCTAAAAAAAATTCCACTAGGGAACCAGCTCTATACCATGTGAGAATAATGAGAGGAATTGATGAACTAGGAAACAAGTGGGGTACAAGTAGAAAACACAAAAGTGTTGTACCCTCTAAGGACTACCCCACTACAGCCTAAACAGACTATAGCATATATAAGTTTGACAGTCCCCACTGTGCGCGTTGAGAAAATCTTCCAGCTCTTGCAGTGTGTGGGCGATACTGTACCATGCACCCGAAGACTCGTAACATTTTTGTGTTGCCCAACTTTCCTGTCCACAGCAGGTGCGGTGATGCGTTGTTCGGAAGTGATGACGACGAAAGCAAGTTGTGCAGCATAACCGCGTGGTCCATCGCCTCAGGCCACTGTTGATTGGGCAGTCGCATGCCACGCAGCAATTTGCGCATGGTGTTCTGGAGAGTTCTGTTCATCCGTTCTGCCACGCCTTCCTGTTGATGGGCGTAGGGAAGCGAAATGAGTCGCTTGATGCCTCGTGTTGCGAGGTACTGCCTGAACCTCTGGGACTGATATTCCCCTCCTCCGTCAGGCTGGAAGCTTTTCAGCTTTGCGCCCGATTCTCGTTCTGCCACAGGTAGCCAGGCGATGAAGGCTTCGAAGGCCATGTCGCGACTTGGAAGATTAAGGTGCCAAACGTAACGGGTGGCGGCGTCGATGAAAGTGATTACGTAATTATATGCGCCTTGCCCTTGTTCGCGAGTATGTAGAATGTCGCTGTATACTTTCTCGAGTGGTGCATAAGCTGGTGCACTTGGATTGTGGTGAGGGACGAACGGTTGATGCGGTAAGTCGGCTTCGGGACAGGTAAAGCATGTTCCGCGGACTCGTTGGAGTTGTCTGCCGTCGGGTAAAAGGAGGGAGTCCTTGTCGAGCACTGCTGCCTTGATTGTGTTGTTTAACGTGGTGTTGCTTGGATGTTCTAGGCGTTCGTGCCACAGGGACTCACTAGCACGATGTCCGGGTGAGCGCCTATACAGGTCGGAGTTGGAGTAAAAGGCGGCGGTGAAGTTGGCGCTTCTGTGAACTTCTCGTGGAGTGGGAGCTAGCTGCTGCGCAGGAGTTGGTGGAGTGTCGTCGATGTGTAGTGATGCCGTCGAGGAGCTCGCGATTGGTGTTGTAAGTGTTGTTGGTGCTGCCGATGTTGTCTCTGCTGCTGTCGATGTTGTTTCTGTTGCTGTCGATGTTGTCGCTTCTTGTCGGATTGTTGCTAATGCTCGTGTTCTTTCTGCTTCAGGTATGGTATGTGAATACCAGAACCCTCAGGGGCTGAAGTCAGGATCGAGGTCCGGTGGGTGCGTCCAGGAGGCGAAGTTGACGATGGCGTCACTATCGGCCGTTCCTTGATCTGGTACAAAGTCGAGGACGAAGACATTGTTTTTCAATGCTGCTCTACCGATGTAGAGCCCTCCTTGACCGTGGAAAAGCTTAAACTCCTGTGTGGTGCTGTCTGCTTCAAGATGGATCCCCTTCGCCATCAGTTGGCCGACGCTCAGTAAGTTGTAGCCAAGTCCTTCTGCAATCAATACTTTGGACATTTGCAAGATGACGTTAGTTTCTCGGGATTGAAGTTGTACTACGCCTTGTCGTCGTGTGTGCAAGTTCTGGTTGTTAGCCACGGTGATGACGACTTCGCGTTGAAGTTGGTGTTCTTGTTGAACGAAGCGACTTGAAGAACACATGTCTTGTCTGCAGCAACTGTCCAAGAACCAGGTGTCTTGCCCGGACGGCTCGCTTTGGGCAATAGCTGCATACGTCGGATTGGGCCCCAGTGAGTCGCGGCGGGGGGTCCTTTCATCGAGTTGGTCTTCTGGTGAGTAGTAGGGTGGTGATCCGGTGATGCAGGAATCCCTCGTCCTTGTCATGCAGCTGACGATGTTTCTTGTTCCTTGTGCAGATTGTGATGAAGATGTTGAAGGCTGCACTTGATTGTTGGGATGCACCTCCGTAGAGGCTACTTGGCTACTTGACGGCCGAAGTTGACGTTGTGGTGTTGTCGACTGCTGCTGTTTCGGGCAGTGTGTGCGCGGATGACCGGACGTCTTGCAAAGGTGACAAAACGGCGGGACATACTGTTGTACTTGTCGGTTGTTGTGTCGGTTGTTGTGTCGGTTGTTGTTGTTGTAGCGTCGTTGAGTGTGGAAGGCGAACTCCGGTGCTAATGCTTTCTTCTTGTGTCGTTCTTCGTGCAGGTCCATGTCTTGCTGTTCAGCGTGAATTTCGGCGCAGAGTGTTGCTTCGGAGATCTTCCCGTGAGCTCGAAGAAGTGCTCGATTAGAGCGCCAATGAGGGCCAAGACCGGCGATAATGACTGTTACAAAAGCTTCTTCCGAAATTGCTCCTCTGCATCGAAGGAGTCTGTCGCGCAGTCCGCGACAACGGCTAGTATAAGCCATTCCCTTTTCGTCGGGTTTCATTTCCACTGTTGTCAGCTGTGCCATGAGACGGCTTTGGTTGACGTTGTCTGTTGCTTGATACAGGTTCTTCAAATGGTCGTAAGCCAGTTCGGCGGAGTTGCCGTATCCTCGATGGAAGCGAATGTTCTGTTGCTCGTTTGGCGTCAAGTTTCGAAGAAGTATTGTATATGCCATCAGCGACTGATACGTGTATTGCTGCTTGTCGTACTGTGTCCCGTGTACTGGATATGGCAGGGACCCGTCGAAGAAGCCGAGGATTTGCGCGCCCTCCATCATCCGTTCAAACTCGAATGACGGGTATAGAAATCCTTCCCGTCGAAAAGCGTTGAAGTTTGTAATTTGAGAACGTGTGCGAATTGCGATTGTACCTGAAGCGCGTCCAGTGTCTTCTCTTGTCCAGATGAAGACTGCGGCTGCGGCGCGAAACTGACAGAGCCGCGTTGAGGCTCATACGGAGCAAAGGTAGGTTGTTGTTGGTTTCCGCGCGCGTACGATGAACCATCAAGACTCATTGGTGTTGCTCTGTTGTTGTTGCTGTTGTTTGATTGCGCAGGAGCTGCTTGCTGGTGTTGCTCGTAGAAGGACATGAAGGAGAAAAATTTCTCCATCATATTTGAGTCGAAGCCTGCCGCTTGATTTCCGGGAATTTCCGTTGACTCTGCAGCTGGTCTTGTGCCTTCTTCTGTCTGTAGGCCAGAGACTGGAGGTGGAGTAGAGGTGGTGCCAAGATATCCGTTGGAGGAGCTCTTCTCCTTCTGCGTAGCCATGACTTGTATTGTAAAATGATTTTTTTTTAAAGTGTGTAACACTTTCTAAAAATATGTATTATGAAAGCGCAGCTGACTGTATCAGAGCAAGGCAACTGCGAATGCCTATTCCCAAGTACATAATGAGGGATGGAGGCCATTTGGCCTCCACCCACGTCTTCATTTTCGGAACTTTACAGTTCCGCTTCCCCCCCACCCACCCCTAGTTGATAATTATGTAATGTAATGTTTCAGTGGGACGAGAATGTTGTAATTACCCAATTTAAATGAAGCACGTTGCCTTGCAAGAACCAGAAAGCAAGCTTTCTTAATTAAAAAAAAGGTTAAAGAGTGATCTTGTCCTGCCTTGCTCTCATACCATGTTGGGTTGAGAAAAAGCCCTTGGGAACTTTTCAGGACTAAGATCGGGTGTTGACGTAGAGTTGTGACAGCGGAAGCGTTTAATAAAGAGTTGTCGTGAACCACATTGTACTAGTTTGTGAGAACAAGATAAGTTGATAATAATAAAGAGATACAAGCTTTTCATATGATTACAAGGAATATGAAAAGGTTCTACTTTAACTGTTTTTGCTGTTGCGGTTCGATACAGTGCCGACTCGGGTAACTGCTCAGTAACGAGTCAGTTATGTGTCCTTGCTGTCGCACTGTACGTTTCGTCAGGTCAAAGGTTGAAGACCTTTGACCTTCTCGTAACCTCCGACGGTTGACTCGGGTGCTTCTTCGCTGTAGTCAGTTCCGTTTTGTGTCGAAGCTTCGATACGACAGAAGCGTTATAAATCACTTGTTTCCAACACAGTCCAGTCGCCGCAAGGGGAGGGAAAGAAAGCAGGCAGGGATGAGAAGCATGTGTTTTGGCCAGCCACTGCCCACAGCCACGTCAATTGTGCTGTTTGACCAACATCTCATCATGACCCAATCTTGGCTGTAGTTCTCCGAGTAAGCTTGTAACTGTTCCCCATTTTTGGATGATCCGCTGTACTTATTGAGAGTAACTCTAGCAATGTTCAAACTACCATACTGTACCATTCTTACAAATAATGTTGGGCCGAGAGCTGGTCCATACTTCAAGCAGGTGCTTATGAAATTTACAGTTGAACTGAGACGGTGGGATTGTCCAAAAGGGCCGTAAGCACATGCTGTCCAAGGTAGTGCATACGAGTGTATGCCCCTGCCCACCCCAACACACATGAGATGAGTGTACAAGCCCCTGCCCACCCCAACACACGAGTGTAGCCCTCCTTCCCCCAGCATATACGGGTGTGTGCCCTTGCCCACCCCCACAAATACGAGTGTACGCCCCACCCCACCGCAGCAGGCGCACATCACATGAGGGCACAGACGCACATCACATGAGGGCACAGACGCACATCACATGAGGGCACAGACGCACATCACATGAGGGCACAGACGCACATCACATGAGGGCACAGGCGCAAATCACATGAGGGCACAGGTGCACATCACATGAGGGCACAGGCGCACATCACATGAGGGCACAGGCGGAGGATGAAGGGGGGGGCTGCGGGGGCATGGGCGGTGCATGGGGCGCGTTGACAGGGTGGTGGAACTCGTTGGTGTCCAGCCCGTACTGGTGGCATGAGGGGTGGGGGGAGGGGTGGGAAGAAGGGGGGGATGGTGGCGGGTGGGTAAGAGGGCGAGAGGCACAAGCAGAGGCAGGCAAATCTGTCGCTACAGCCCGGGCTGTGTGGGCGCGTTGACGGCGTGGTGTAACTCGTTGGTGTTCAGCCCGTACTGGTGGAGGGGGTGGGAAGCGCGGGGTGGGAGGGATAGTGGCAGGGGAAGGGATGGAGGAAGGGCGGGGGAGATGGGGGTGGGGTAGCAGGTGAGTGAGAGAGTGAGTGGCAGAAGCAGGGGCAGGCACATCCGGCAGTGAAGGGCATCCGAGTGATGGCCTCAGCCCCGTACAGCAGCGCTTGCAGCCAGCCTATACACGCTCCAGGTGGTCTCAGGTAAACGCAGGTGGCCTCAGGTGGCCTCCCGGGATGTTGCCTTTCACCTGCCGTGCCCCAGGCCATCTGCCCATGTCTCCCCTTCCCCTCATTTCCCCATTCCCCATCTCCCCATCCCCAATTTCCCCATCCCCCATCCCCCATTCCCCCATCCCCATCACACCTTCTCCAGAATGCGGTTCCGCCAGGCATCTGACAGCGCTGCTGCTCCCCCTTCTCCTCCTGCTGCTGCTGCTGCTGCACCGTCCGCTGCTCCCCCCACACCCACGCCACTCACACCACTCCCACCACCAGCAGCAGCAGCGTCAGCAGAGGACGAGGGGATGGCGGCGGAGTAGGGAGGAGGGGGCGCCATGTGGGGTGGGCGGAGGAGCGGTTGGCGCAGGCGGGAGTTGGGATGGGGGTGGGGGGGGATGTAGTCGTCGTCGTGGTCCGCCAGTGCAGCATCGCTGTGCATGGCACTCAGCATCATCGCCAGCAGCAGCGCCGTGCCCTGATGGGGCACAATGAGGAGAGTGGAGGGCCACAGGACGGGTGGTTGGGAGCGAGGAGAAGGGGGTTGCAAAGATGGCAGCAGCGGGGCAGCAGCAAAGGGTAGGAAGGTGGGTGAGAGGAAGCATGAAGCCCCTGAACAGGTGGGTGAGAGGAAGCAACCAGCAAAGGACACTGGGATTGGCTTGGAGTGCCGGAGAGGCTACACATGGAAGAAGGCGTGTTAGGAGGTGGGTCAGCGCACCCACTGCCTCCCAACCCGGAACCTCTCTGCTTGTAACCTCTCTGCTTGTAACCTCTCTGCTTGTAACCTCTCTGCTTGTAACCTCTCTGCTTGTAACCTCTCTGCTTGTAACCTCTCTGCTTGTAACCTCTCTGGCCAAACGCAGAACCAATCTCAGAGTGCTTCCCACACTCCCTTCAATGGACCCGCCTCTCAAAGAGGAAGAGAAGGTTGCACCTCACTCTCCTCTGGCGGTGGCCTGATGCAGGGGCTAACGGCGACGCCTACAATTGAATCTGGGCCTTGGGGACAAAGACTCTGCTCGAAACATTTTGCGAGTAGCGCTTCCAGGCGAACCCGAAGCCAATCTCAGTGTGCTTTCCACAGCCTTGACAGCTGCTGCAGGGCACGAAATCTCAAGTGCGTGTGATGTGATTGCTCACTCACCACCCTGCACGCCTAAGTCTACCTCCCAGCCGAGTCCACCGCTGTGGTTAATGTCAGAATCCCAAACACTAGACCATTGGGATAAAAAGGCTTGTTTCATTAGCGGGTCAGTGCCCCCATAACCCCCCAGGCTAACAGGCCTGTAACCCCCCAACAATCAAACGAGGATCTCACAGTGCAAGTCTTCTGACAGTTAATACGTATCCTCACCCACTCAATCTCTCACTCCCGCTTGCCACACTGGGCTCACCTCCACGAGCAGCAGGCTGACGGCAGCGAGGCGGCAGAGGTCGAGATTGCGCAGCACAAACGCCCTCTCCCTCTCGTACTCGCCCGTGGGGTCCTCTGGCACGTCCTGGTGCAGACCATGCCAGGGCGGCGAGGGGGCAAGGGGTATGGGGGCGGGAAGGTGGGGGTGAAGGGGCTCAGTGAATGGAGCAGCTTGGAAGGTGGAGGTCGCGCAGCACGAACGCCCTCTCCCTCTCGTACTCGCCCGTTGGGTCCTCTGGCACGTCCTGGTGCACACGAGGGGGCGGGAGGGGAGGGGGCGAGAAGGTTGGGATGAAGGGACTTGGCGAATGGAACAGCTTGGAAGGTGGGGGTTGCGCAGCACCAACGCCCTCTCCCTCTCGTACTCGCCCGTTGGGTCCTCTGGCACGTCCTGGTGCACACAAGGGGTGGGAGAGGAGGGGGCGAGAAGGTTGGGATGAAGGAACTTGGCGAATGGAACAGCTTGGAAGGTGGGGGTTGCGCAGCACCAACGCCCTCTCCCTCTCGTACTCGCCCGTTGGGTCCTCTGGCACGTCCTGGTGCACACGAGGGGTGGGAGGGGAGGGGGCGAGAAGGTTGGGATGAAGGAACTTGGCGAATGGAACAGCTTGGAAGGTGGGGGTTGCGCAGCACCAACGCCCTCTCCCTCGTACTCGCCCGTTGGGTCCTCTGGCACGTCCTGGTGCACACGAGGGGTGGGAGGGGAGGGGGCGAGAAGGTTGGGATGAAGGAACTTGGCGAATGGAACAGCTTGGAAGGTGGGGGTTGCGCAGCACCAACGCCCTCTCCCTCTCTTACTCGCCCGTTGGGTCCTCTGGCACGTCCTGGTGCACACGAGGGGTGGGAGGGGAGGGGGCGAGAAGGTTGGGATGAAGGAACTTGGCGAATGGAACAGCTTGGAAGGTGGGGGTTGCGCAGCACCAACGCCCTCTCCCTCTCTTACTCGCCCGTTGGGTCCTCTGGCACGTCCTGGTGCACACGAGGGGTGGGAGGGGAGGGGGCGAGAAGGTTGGGATGAAGGAACTTGGCGAATGGAACAGCTTGGAAGGTGGGGGTTGCGCAGCACCAACGCCCTCTCCCTCTCGTACTCGCCCGTTGGGTCCTCTGGCACGTCCTGGTGCACACGAGGGGTGGGAGGGGAGGGGGCGAGAAGGTTGGGATGAAGGAACTTGGCGAATGGAACAGCTTGGAAGGTGGGGGTTGCGCAGCACCAACGCCCTCTCCCTCTCTTACTCGCCCGTTGGGTCCTCTGGCACGTCCTGGTGCACACGAGGGGTGGGAGGGGAGGGGGCGAGAAGGTTGGGATGAAGGAACTTGGCGAATGGAACAGCTTGGAAGGTGGGGGTTGCGCAGCACCAACGCCCTCTCCCTCTCGTACTCGCCCGTTGGGTCCTCTGGCACGTCCTGGTGCACACGAGGGGTGGGAGGGGAGGGGGCGAGAAGGTTGGGATGAAGGAACTTGGCGAATGGAACAGCTTGGAAGGTGGGGGTTGCGCAGCACCAACGCCCTCTCCCTCTCGTACTCGCCCGTTGGGTCCTCTGGCACGTCCTGGTGCACACGAGGGGTGGGAGGGGAGGGGGCGAGAAGGTTGGGATGAAGGAACTTGGCGAATGGAACAGCTTGGAAGGTGGGGGTTGCGCAGCACCAACGCCCTCTCCCTCTCTTACTCGCCCGTTGGGTCCTCTGGCACGTCCTGGTGCACACGAGGGGTGGGAGGGGAGGGGGCGAGAAGGTTGGGATGAAGGAACTTGGCGAATGGAACAGCTTGGAAGGTGGGGGTTGCGCAGCACCAACGCCCTCTCCCTCTCGTACTCACCCGTTGGGTCCTCTGGCACGTCCTGGTGCACACAACGGGTGGGAGGGGAGGGGGCGAGAAGGTTGGGATGAAGGAACTTGGCGAATGGAACAGCTTGGAAGGTGGGGGTTGCGCAGCACCAACGCCCTCTCCCTCGTACTCGCCCGTTGGGTCCTCTGGCACGTCCTGGTGCACACGAGGGGTGGGAGGGGAGGGGGCGAGAAGGTTGGGATGAAGGAACTTGGCGAATGGAACAGCTTGGAAGGTGGGGGTTGCGCAGCACCAACGCCCTCTCCCTCTCTTACTCGCCCGTTGGGTCCTCTGGCACGTCCTGGTGCACACGAGGGGTGGGAGGGGAGGGGGCGAGAAGGTTGGGATGAAGGAACTTGGCGAATGGAACAGCTTGGAAGGTGGGGGTTGCGCAGCACCAACGCCCTCTCCCTCTCTTACTCGCCCGTTGGGTCCTCTGGCACGTCCTGGTGCACACGAGGGGTGGGAGGGGAGGGGGCGAGAAGGTTGGGATGAAGGAACTTGGCGAATGGAACAGCTTGGAAGGTGGGGGTTGCGCAGCACCAACGCCCTCTCCCTCTCGTACTCGCCCGTTGGGTCCTCTGGCACGTCCTGGTGCACACGAGGGGTGGGAGGGGAGGGGGCGAGAAGGTTGGGATGAAGGAACTTGGCGAATGGAACAGCTTGGAAGGTGGGGGTTGCGCAGCACCAACGCCCTCTCCCTCTCTTACTCGCCCGTTGGGTCCTCTGGCACGTCCTGGTGCACACGAGGGGTGGGAGGGGAGGGGGCGAGAAGGTTGGGATGAAGGAACTTGGCGAATGGAACAGCTTGGAAGGTGGGGGTTGCGCAGCACCAACGCCCTCTCCCTCTCGTACTCGCCCGTTGGGTCCTCTGGCACGTCCTGGTGCACACGAGGGGTGGGAGGGGAGGGGGCGAGAAGGTTGGGATGAAGGAACTTGGCGAATGGAACAGCTTGGAAGGTGGGGGTTGCGCAGCACCAACGCCCTCTCCCTCTCGTACTCGCCCGTTGGGTCCTCTGGCACGTCCTGGTGCACACGAGGGGTGGGAGGGGAGGGGGCGAGAAGGTTGGGATGAAGGAACTTGGCGAATGGAACAGCTTGGAAGGTGGGGGTTGCGCAGCACCAACGCCCTCTCCCTCTCTTACTCGCCCGTTGGGTCCTCTGGCACGTCCTGGTGCACACGAGGGGTGGGAGGGGAGGGGGCGAGAAGGTTGGGATGAAGGAACTTGGCGAATGGAACAGCTTGGAAGGTGGGGGTTGCGCAGCACCAACGCCCTCTCCCTCTCGTACTCACCCGTTGGGTCCTCTGGCACGTCCTGGTGCACACAACGGGTGGGAGGGGAGGGGGCGAGAAGGTTGGGATGAAGGAACTTGGCGAATGGAACAGCTTGGAAGGTGGGGGTTGCGCAGCACCAACGCCCTCTCCCTCTCTTACTCGCCCGTTGGGTCCTCTGGCACGTCCTGGTGCACACGAGGGGTGGGAGGGGAGGGGGCGAGAAGGTTGGGATGAAGGAACTTGGCGAATGGAACAGCTTGGAAGGTGGGGGTTGCGCAGCACCAACGCCCTCTCCCTCTCGTACTCGCCCGTTGAGTCCTCTGGCACGTCCTGGTGCACACGAGGGGTGGGAGGGGAGGGGGCGAGAAGGTTGGGATGAAGGAACTTGGCGAATGGAACAGCTTGGAAGGTGGGGGTTGCGCAGCACCAACGCCCTCTCCCTCTCGTACTCGCCCGTTGGGTCCTCTGGCACGTCCTGGTGCACACGAGGGGTGGGAGGGGAGGGGGCGAGAAGGTTGGGATGAAGGAACTTGGCGAATGGAACAGCTTGGAAGGTGGGGGTTGCGCAGCACCAACGCCCTCTCCCTCTCGTACTCGCCCGTTGGGTCCTCTGGCACGTCCTGGTGCACACGAGGGGTGGGAGGGGAGGGGGCGAGAAGGTTGGGATGAAGGGACTTGGCAAATGGAACAGCTTGGAAGGTGGGGGTTGCGCAGCACCAACGCCCTCTCCCTCTCGTACTCGCCCGTTGGGTCCTCTGGCACGTCCTGGTGCACACGAGGGGTGGGAGGGGAGGGGGCGAGAAGGTTGGGATGAAGGAACTTGGCGAATGGAACAGCTTGGAAGGTGGGGGTTGCGCAGCACCAACGCCCTCTCCCTCTCGTACTCGCCCGTTGGGTCCTCTGGCACGTCCTGGTGCACACGAGGGGTGGGAGGGGAGGGGGCGAGAAGGTTGGGATGAAGGGACTTGGCAAATGGAACAGCTTGGAAGGTGGGGGTTGCGCAGCACCAACGCCCTCTCCCTCTCGTACTCGCCCGTTGGGTCCTCTGGCACGTCCTGGTGCACACGAGGGGTGGGAGGGGAGGGGGCGAGAAGGTTGGGATGAAGGGACTTGGCAAATGGAACAGCTTGGAAGGTGGGGGTTGCGCAGCACCAACGCCCTCTCCCTCTCGTACTCGCCCGTTGGGTCCTCTGGCACGTCCTGGTGCACACGAGGGGTGGGAGGGGAGGGGGCGAGAAGGTTGGGATGAAGGAACTTGGCGAATGGAACAGCTTGGAAGGTGGGGGTTGCGCAGCACCAACGCCCTCTCCCTCTCGTACTCGCCCGTTGGGTCCTCTGGCACGTCCTGGTGCACACGAGGGGTGGGAGGGGAGGGGGCGAGAAGGTTGGGATGAAGGGACTTGGCAAATGGAACAGCTTGGAAGGTGGGGGTTGCGCAGCACCAACGCCCTCTCCCTCTGTAGCACGCCTGTCGACGGGGGCGGGGGCGAGGGGCCCAGGAACGAGGGGCGAGGGGTGAGGGGTGAGGTGTAAGGGGTAAGGGGCGAGAAGGTTGGGCAGAAGGGAGAGGTGATAAATGGAGTGACTTGGACGGCGGTGATGATGGGTAGTAGCAGCGCACGCTGACACCCTCCCCCACACATGCACTCTCACTCACCCACTCACTCCCTGGGTTCCATGCGAAGGGCGGTTACCAGGTTACATCTGAAGGTAGCTGGGCTACTTCCAAAGGGTGGTTACCATGTTACATCTGAAGGTAGCTGGGTTTCATGCGAAGGGCAATAATCATGTTACATGTGAAGGTGGTTACCAGGTTACATGCGAACGGGTGGTCACCTGAAGCCAGACGAGGGCAGCAAGGGATCCTTGGATGAGCAGCAGCACGCAGAGGCCGAACTGGTACTGTGGGCGGCCAGGAGCCGTGGGGAACGAGGAGGCACAGACATCACGAAGGCAATGGAAAAAAACAAAAAAACACTTGATGGTTGGTGGACAGACAAGTGAACTAGTGGTGGAATTGGGTGCATGCAGCATACACCATCACGCATGCAGCAAGAGAAGCTGAGCACGCGGCATGCAAGGCAGCAGCGCAGTGACGCACGCATGAGAGGCAGCAGCCGTTGTTGCTCTCTGCCGCCACGGCGCCCACGATGGTGACCAGCGTGAGCAGCGCTCCCCCCCCCACCAACACGTAGATGAACCTGCCAGGGGGAGGACGAGGGGCCAGGGGCGGGGTTGGGGAGGAAATGGGTGAGGAGGAGAGGGGAGGGGGGATACGGAGGTGAGGGAATGCGGGAGGTTCAAATGGGGGCAGCAGAGGCGGATGGAAGGAAGGGCAGTGTGGCGGATGGAAGGAAGGGCAGTGTGGCGGATGGAAGGAAGGGCAGTGTGGCGGATGGAAGGAAGGGCAGTGTGGCGGATGGAAGGAAGGGCAGTGTGGCGGATGGAAGGAAGGGCAGTGTGGCGGATGGAAGGAAGGGCAGTGTGGCGGATGGAAGGAAGGGCAGTGCAAGCACGCAGCGAAGGATGGGCCTGGAGAGAGGGCAGAGGGGAGATGGGCCTGGCTAATCGATGAACACACGGCAAGGGGCGGGGCAGGAGGGAGAAGGAAGGGGGGCGGAGGGAGGGGGGAGGGGAAAGGAGAGAGGGCAGAGGGGAGAGGGAAGCGGGGAGGAAGGTAGGGCAAGTGCGGTACCAGAGGTAGGGCAGGCGCAGCTCGTTGCTGCTCACCCCCAACTGCCTCCTGCCGCCAAGGCTGCTCGCACTGCTGCTGCTGCTGCTGCTGCTGCCACTGACGAGTTGTGTAGCGCCAGGCAGCGGCGAGGATAGGTGCATTGAGACGGGGGCGAGGCGCGAGGAGGAGGAGAGAGAGGAGGGTGAGGGTGAGGGAGAGGAAGAAGGGGGGCTGGGTGGATGGAGGTCGGGGTCGAGGTGAACGAGGCGCGAGAGGGAGTATACAATCAGAAGTACCCCCACGATGGCGAGGGCGAAGTTGAAGAGCTTCAGCAGGCACTGCAGGAAGCCCCGACACGCCATGCCTGCTGCTGGTGCCAGTGGTGCTGGTGCTGCTGCTGCTGCCAGGGGCACATGAATAGGGCACATGAATGGGGCGGAACGAACAGTAGGTAAAGGGAGCAAGGGCACGTAAAATGAGAATCGGCTTCTTGCGGTGCTGCTGTGGTGTGGTGTGGTGTGGTGTGGTGCGTGGGGGTGGGTGGACGTGCAGTATGCAACGCCAAGTGGTGGTGATGCTGCAGGCAGGGAACGACAGACCGGGCGGCTTGAATCCATGCGGTGTGCTTATAGCGAGAGGAGAATGAGGGAGGGGACGGATTGGCATGGCGAGCAGGTGGAAGGAGGCGTGTCTCATATTTTTCTCCGTTTTACACTTAGTCGGGTTTAACACTTGGTTGGCCTCCATGACTGGTTGGCGAATCCTAAAATCTGTGACGAGCTGGGGTAGCTTTCTGTCGAAACCAATCACGGACGTGCGTAACCAACCAAGTGTTAAATGCTTGTAAATATGAGACGCGAGATTTAACCCAGTCGGTAGCAGGCTGGGCCAGCAGTGGGGAATCTAGGCAAAGGGGGAAAGGCGAGATGCAGGGAGAGCGGAGCGATGGGTGAGCGAGTGAGGGCCATGGGGTGCGGGAGAAAAGGGAGAAGAGGGCATGGGCGGCGCAGCTGGGAGTGGAGAGGGCGGTTTTTGAAGGGCGCCGGGGGGGATTTTGCGCCTCAAAGGTGTTTAAAGGGCGGCGGGGCGACGACGAGAAACGCATGGCAGCCGTGTCCGCGCGCGGCGCGAGCAATGGAACAGCCGGGAATGCCCGCGCAGTGACGCGACACGGGGGGGTCGATCCGAATCGACCGTAGCGGACAGGACGAGCGCGAGAAGCGGCGGGCCGGAGGAGGAGGGCGACGCGGAGGCATGGCTCGACGTGACGACGAGCTCATCTCCCCTCTCCTCTCTCCTCGTTTCTCATCTTGCATTTTCAAACGACTTAAAAACTAGCGCGAGTTCGCAGGCCCCGCCTTCCAGTTGGACGGAGGAGAGACGCGGAGAGAGGAGGACACGACGGAGCGTACCTGGGGTGGGATGAGTTCGACCCACGGAGGAATCGGACGGAGCGCGAAACTCAAACGGAAGCGGAGACGAATTGCGCGGAGAGGGGCGCAACGCGGAAACGGCCTTTCTATGCCGTGCTTGCTACGCGAGTGCTAGGCAAGGGATCAAGCTGCGTAGTTGCTTGTGCTGACTAGTGAGGAATGCGACTTCGGTGTTTGGAGCTGGGGGATTTGGGTTGGATGGCAATTCAGTCTCGATAGTCTCGAGCAGCAGCGTGCTGCGACGTTGGGCGCGAGCTTGGCGAATTCCGCGAACTGGACTTGTGAAGGTGATCGGGGATTCTTGAGCGAACTTTGCGAGACAGGGGATGAATTGGACGAAAACACATCTTTGGGTACGAAAAGAATCAGGTAACCGGTGGTTTCGTGGTTTCAGGCAAAGCGAATTTGAGACCAGATCTGGCGGATTTACCCGTGAGGGCCCTGTCCATCACTGCTGCTGCCCTCCACCGCGCATCGGACGGACCACCCACGTGCATTCGATCTCAGCCGTCCCTTGCTTGCATCCCAGCAGCGCGCCGATCTCTGTCCGCGCACTCGCCTGCTTCCACCGCGTGCACATGTGGGGTGACGCAACGGCTTTCAATTGAGGAACGCAGTCACTCCCTCGTGCGCACTCACCGCTTCGCGCGGACTCGCCTCTCGCGCGCACACGCGCCATGGCTTCCTCTCTGCGCCTCTCGCCCGCGCTTCTTCGGCCGTCCCCACTTCCAGGGTACCGTGCCTCCCGCACTCCCGCCTTCCGCGCGAGAATTGTCGCACCGATACAAGCAACCTCGACACAACCACTATCACGATTGCGGAGCGTGTATGGCTGTGCCGCACTGGCATTCGAATAGACGATGATCCTCTAAGAGTAACTCATCAAGCCGGCCCCTGTCCCCTTATAACTGCCCTTTCCTTCCCACGCACCGTCCCTACCCTTCAGGGAAGTTCACCTCTGGTGCGTCAAATTGCCTTCCTCCTCCTCCTCCTCCTCCTCCTCCTCCTCCTCCTCCTCCTCCTCCTCCTCCTCCTCCTCCTCCTCCTCCTCCTCCTCCTCCTCCTCCTCCTCTTTCGCGCACTCCGCTTCCCCTGCTTTCGCCGATCCCTCCCTGCTCGCCTCCTATTGGTCCCTGCTGAGTCAGCAGGAGAAGCACCGGATCGCATCGTCACCGCCACATCAGCAGCACGCAGCCGCCAAGCTGCCTTCCCGTCGCCAGCTGGCGGACTCCTATTGGCTGAGCGGCGCCGACTCCGTGCCGTCCCCCTCGCTGCCCTGGCCGCTGTCCCCCACGCAGCTGCAACAGCTGCTCACGCGCGCCCTCGTGCGCGTCTCGCTCGCCCGCTGTGAGTCGTGCTTGCGCGGGCTGCTTGGGACGCTCGCTGGGTCTTCACTGGGCTCGGCTGCACTGGAAGCACCTCACAACGGATTGCTCTGTTCGCATGCATGCGCGATGCACCACGTGCATTCACTCACTTGCTGAACTGTGTACACGCTCACACGCTCACACGCTCACACGCTCACACGCTCGCTCGCTCGCTCGCTCGCTCACTCACTCACTTACAATCCTCGCATGCACGCACATCCGCCCACACATCTCGCGCCCCTCCTTCCCCCCCACCTCCCCTCCCCTCCCCGCCCCACCCCCCCTTCCCCTCCCCTCCCCTCCCCTCCCCGTCTTCCCCTCCCCTCCCCTCCCCCCCCCTTCCCCTCCCTGCCCCCCACCCCCCAGACCTGGAGGGGAGAGTGCACCCGGCGGACATTCTCTTCCGCGCCAACCCCTGGGGCAAGCCGCAGGTGGGATGAGGGCGAGCAAGGAATGAGGTGCAGTGACGGGGTTGGATAAAAGGGCTGCATGGCAGGCAGGCGCACACGGGGTAGGAGGAGGAATGGCAGTGGGGCGGGCAGGACTGGCAGGCTTGCAGTTCACTTGGTTACCACCGTCCCCCCTTCCCCCTGCTGCTCCCACTTCTTGTTTTCTCTTCTTCTTCCTGTTGACTTGGTCACATGTTCTGATTCTCAACATTGCATTCTGCCCGCTCCTGCTGTGTCCCCCCACCCTCTCACCAGGTGTGCTGGGCCTCCACCTTCAACCCTGCGTCACCCAACCCACGCACCCAGCCCTGGCAGGAGCATGAGAAGGAGGGGGTGAAGGCGCATGCATCAGAAAGGAGCAGCGTGGACAGCAGAGAGGCAGGGCAGCCCGTGAGCATGGAGAAGGCAGGTCACCCCTTGGAGTGGCGGCGCGAGGAAGCTGCTGAGACCGCCACGGGCAGGGAATGCGGGAGTAAGAGTGCAGGTAACACGGTGACTAGTAGCAGCAGGAGTTCTCTTGACACCCGCCGTGATGACTCGTGCACCAGCAGCAGCAGCAGAAGCAGAAGCCCGGGCGACAGCAGCAGTGGAGCAGTGTCCTTACATTTCAACGGGAATGGGAGAGGAGGGGGAAGGAGAGAGGAGTGGGAATGGGAGAGGAGGGGGAAGGAGAGAGGAGTGGGAATGGGAGAGGAGGGGGAAGGAGAGAGAGAGAGGAGTGGGAATGGGAGAGGAGGGGGAAGGAAAGAGGAGTGGGAATGGGAGAGGAGGGGGAAGGAAAGAGGAGAGGGAATGGGAGAGGAGGGGGGAGGAGAGAGGAGTGGGAATGTAAGAGGCGAGTGAACATTGGAGTGCAGGGTGACACTCCCCCCACCCCATGCATAGGCGCAGGGCTGCCCTGCCTGTGGCTCACTGCTTGCTTTCGTTTCTTCCACCTCACCCATTCCCTCTCTCCCTCTGGCAACCATTCCCCCCCAACTCCACTCCCCCCCTACCCCCCATTTCTCCCCCTCCACGGCCCTACCACCCCGCCCTCCTCTCCCGGTTTGCGCCCTCCTGTGTGTCCTGGCGCTCTGCATGGGTGCCCGCCTGCCTGCCAGGAGGCGTACGTGAAGGCGCATGGGAGGGGCATGAACGCGCTGCCCTTCCGCTCCTTTGCCTTCCGCCTCTCACCATCGCACCAAGCTGCCCCCGCCCTCACCCACGCCCTCGCTCCCCCTCGCAGTGCCCACCAGGTCAGCGTGCCTCCCTGTCCCCCCTCTTGGACCTGTTTTAGTCAAGGCAATACTCATGTGGATGCATGCAGTCGTCCTCTTTGACGCATCACGTCCAGGTTGCATACGCATGTGTTGCCTCTCCCTCCCCCCTCTCGCCCCCGACAGGCGTGGGCCATTGGCCTCACCCACCGTTCCAGCCCCGCCCCCTCTCTGCTCGCCTGCCACCAACCAGCACCCGGCGCCTCCCCTGCCGCTCACTCCCCACCTCATGCCTCGTCGCACGATATGCTCGCCTGCGATGCTGATGTGGCGCAACCAGAGAGCGCCATGTGGCGCAGCATGCTAGTCCAGCTGTCGCCAGCCCACGTGCTTGCTGTGAGCCTGGGCTGCCAGCGTCTGCCCCGCCACCATGCCTTGCGCCTGCATGCGTGGAACACTGTGCCTCTGTTAAGAGATGATACTGTTACCGTATTACCCCGGATATAAGCGCACCTGCGCTTATAATAAAACAGTGTTTTTTTGGGGGGGTGCGCTTATAATTGAGTAAAAATTATAAGCGCATGCGCTTATAATATAACAAATACAAATATATATTTCAATGCACCAAATTGTACATCTCATCCTTCAGTGTTCAATCGAATCGAAATTGTAGAAAGTCACATGTCAAAATCGCGCGCGGGCGATTCTTCGCGAGCGCCCAGAGGCAAAATACAGTGTAACACCTCACTTTGAGGGCGTGCCAGCTCGTGCTGACTGGACGCGCAGGATGTGAGAGGTCTTCGAAAGTCAATGTAAGCGAAAATGGGTTGTGGCCTCGCTGCAAAACTGAGATTCGTTACCGTTTTAATGAAGAATTATAAATAAAATTACACATGCGCTTATAATATATCAGGGTTTTTATAAGGGGTGCGCTTATAATTGAGGATCGGCCATAAGCGCATTGCTCCAGATACAAGCGCATGCGCTTTTAATAGGCCTGCGCTTATATCCGGGGCCATACGGTACTGACATCTTGGGGCTTGGCATCTCACTCTAGTTGATTTTTTATCTTAGAAACTACCGTAAGTAGTTTACAGATGTTACGAGTGCAATTGAGCGAGCAAGCGAGAATTGCACTATCGAAGCAAAACAATACAATGAGCGAAGGCATGCGCGAAGAATATATAGCGAACTATAGTGGTAACGGTAACGCGAGAAATTGGGGTGCGCAACGGGCCTAGCGCCGAGGTTGGGATATATCAAGGCGGAGGTCCGGAGCGCGGGTTACCAACCGAGCCGTGAGGTTGGGTTTTATCGTGAACAGTGGTGGCAGTCGTAGTCGAGGCGAGTGTCGCGAGCGGGTAACGTTTCACAGTATGGTGGAAATGGTCTTGTAAGCGGTAAGCAGGGGCGCGAAGTAAGGAAAAGGAATTTTCCTTACACTACCCCACCCAAAGGAGGCCCTCCTTACGAGAGTGCGTGTACATCTCGAAAATTTCGACTGCGCAGATACTCAGTGAGGACAAGGTGATTCTCAATTCTATCCAGGGGGACCCTGTTGTCTTCGGTGGGCATGCGGTCTTTCGAGCGGATCAGGAATTCGATCCCGCGGGTTCCCCGTGGGTCACGTACTCGGTGGCTCACTATTTTTTCAAGCGTGATAATTGGTTCTGTCTGCGGTCGTGTCATGCTGGCGGGGCGGTTGCGAGGCAGTTGGCTGGTGGATGGTACGTATGGGCGAAGCAGGCTGACGTGGAATGACGGGCTAACGTACCAGTCAGCAGGGAGGAGGAGGTGGGCGGTGACGGGTGTGATCATGTGGTTGATGCGAAATGGCACGCAATATCGGTGGCGGAGATTTGGGGTGATGGGCAGGTGGAGGTTTTGAGTATCGAGTAGCACGAGGTCGTCAGGCTGGTAAGTGACGGGTCGGCGATGGCGATCGGCGTTACGCTTAGCAATGATGTTCGATTCTTTTATTGCGTCTGCTGCTCGGGTCCGTGCTGCTTGTAAAATTTCTGCGAACTGTTGCGCGCGTGGCACCGGGTTGTCGGGATTCGGAGTCATGGGTACTGTGGGGTCTTATCCGTAGTTAAGGTAAAACGGTGACTGTTGGGTCATGGCAGATGGCGAGTTGTTGTACGCGAACTCGATGAGTGGTAGTTGTTAGAATGTTATAGTGCTTACATTTGTGTAGGCTATAGTGTGTGAAAGTAACGAACGAGAATGAATGAACTAGCAATGAGTTGGGTACAAGTACTAACCCTAATTGGGTTGTACCCCTTATGGGCTACCCCACTGTAGCCTACACAAATGCAAAAGCTATAATGTTCTGACACACCCCCATAGGCAAAGTGGGGGAGAACAAGTGGTCACAAGACCAGTCAAGAAAGGCAAAGCAAGCTCAGGGTGGATCACAAAGTCACCACACAGTCCGAGCACAAGCAAAGGGCCACAAGGCCAGTTCACATGCAAAGTTATATATAAAAGAGAACAAACAATACAGTGATCATACCCTAGCAAGTGCAAGCATGCAGGTATATATATAGATCACAGTACAAGCAAAGTCACGCAGTAAGCAAGTGAGGCAAAGTAGGCACAAGGCCTAACACAGTAGAGAAACGCTGATGATCACCAGGCGGAAGTGCCTTGGTGAATATATCAGCAGTGTTGGCCCTAGTGGCCACGTACGCAAGACGAAGCTGACCACGCTGCTGCAACTCTCGAGCAAGGAAGTATCGCAGAGCGATGTGCTTCGTTCTGTGCTCCAGTCTGTGCTCCTGACACAAGGCAATCATGGCCTTGTTGTCTACGTATAGAACTGGAGGCGAACGAGGCAGCTCTCCCAAGTCAGTCAGCAGGTAGGTGAGCAAGCGTAGCTCCTGTGCAGCCATGGCCCCGGCGTAGATCTCAGCCTCACAACTGGAGCTGAGAACCGAAGACGAGCGGGTAGACCGCCAGGAGACAGAGCCAGAGCCAAGGCTGAAGGTGTAACCCTGTGACGACCGCCGCGTAGCTGAGTCGTCAACCCAGGAGGCGTCTGCGTGACCAGTGAGGACAACTGGACCCCGTCCTCCAAGCACGAGCCCCATGCCCGCCGTACTGCACAAGTAACGCAGTACCCTCTTCGCAGCATCCAAGTGCACCTTTCGGTGCCTGCCGGGAGCCACGTAGCGAGCCAGAAGGCTGAGATGGTACGCGAGGTCGGGTCGAGTGCACGTCATCAGGTACATGAGGCAACCCACAAGCTCTGGGTACGGACCACTCGGCTCTACAGACTCGTCCGAAGGTGGAGCTGAGAGCAAGTGTCTGGTAGACAGAGGAGTGGGCTATGGCGAGGAGAACTGGAAGCCGAAGCGTTGAAGGACCTGGTTCACCATGTGTGACTGAGTCAGGGTAATGGTGTGCCGAGCTCTGTCCCGGGTGATCTGCAAGCCAAGATAGCTGCGCAGTTCACCGAGGTCAGTGCAGGTGTGTCTCTTCTGCAGCTCCGACTTCACAAGAGTCAGTGCCTCAGTGTCAACAGTGGCAAAGACGAGGTCGTCGACGTAGAACGGCGGCAGCGAGGTGTCGGTGCGTAGAAACAGCGACGGGTCAGCAGTAGTGGGAGCGAACCCAAGAGCCGCAAGTGTAGTCCTCAGTGTGTCGTGCCACTCGCGAGGCGCCAGGCGGAGACCGTAGGCTGGCCGCCGAAGACTCCACTGAGTACCTGCAGGAAAAGACTCAGTGAAACTAGGTGGGCGGCGCAACCACATCTCCTCGTGCAGGTTGCCCTGCAGGAACGCTGTGCTGAAGTCCAGAGAGTGCAACTCGTAGTCGTGCAGCAACACCCGAAGAGAACGTCTGGAATTAGTCAACTCCCTGTCGCTGACTGAAGCCCCTAGCAACGTAACGTGCCTTGAAGGCAGGCGGAGAACCTGGCGGCCGCTTCACCCTGAGGATCCACATGCCATTGACCATGTTCACCCCAGGTGGGGGAACCTTATCGACGTAGGAGCCTGTGGACTTCCAGGATGCCATCTCGGCATCCATGGCTGCCTGCCACTGAGAGGAGTAAGGACCCGTAATCGCCTCTGCGTAAGAGCGCGGGGTCGGGATGTCTGGAGCATCCGGGTCTCCCTCAGGGGCAAGCAGCATGGAAGCGAAACGAGGTACAGCAGCTGCAAGACACTCAAAGTCCTCCTGCTTGTCCTGAAGGACGTCCGTGCCAAGAGCACACTCACCCCCGACGGACGGAGGACTGGCAGACGCAGACTCAGCAACAAGAGCAGTGGCGTAGTCTAGACGGCAGGCAGCATCAAATCCAAGCAGCTCAGCAACGAGAGCAGACACAGTAGCAGACTCAAAATAAGGGTCAGTGACAGCAGTAGCGAGGAGACGAGAGACAGCGGCACTGGCAGTACAAGCGTGGTCAGACTCAGGGTCAGGGACCTCAGGAAGAGAGGACTCAGGAGGAGCTGGCAGAGGAACGCGTAGAGGAACAGAGGAAGGACGAAGGGTCATAGCGTGCGTGCCAGGGACAGGAGGAGGACGCGAACGAGGAATGCGACGAGCAGTGCGAACAGGCGAGACAGGACGAGACGCAGGCTCACGACGCTTTGTAAGACCGCCAGACTGCACCGTGTAAGGAGAAGGACCATGCAGTGGAGAGGCCGTCGATAAAGGCGGTTGCGACTGGTCAGGCGGGGGACACAGGAGGGGAGGAGTAAGGGTAGCAGAAGGCGGGGCACCAAGAACCTACAGGAGCAGGGGAACGAAGTACGATCGCGGCAGCACAGTGCCACCAGGGTCAACAGCTCCAACTCCTCCAGCTCAAGCACCTCCAACACCAGGGCCTCCATTTCCAGCGCCTCCTGCGCCAGGGCTACCAACTCCAGCTCCTCCAGCTCCAGCGCCACCAGCGCCAGTAGTACCAGACTCCGTAAGGACTCCAGCTCCAGCACCCTCAACACCACCAGTCCCGGCAGCTCCAGTACCCCGGGTACGAGCACCTCCAGGACCAGTGGTCGCAGAAACTACGGTAACACTAGCTCCAGCAGCAACTTTACTACCTCCAGCTCTAGCAGCGCCAGCACCTCCAGCTCCAGAAGCTCAACTCCGAAGGCGTGTACACCGAACAAACCACTCACGCAACTGCTGCGGAGACAGTCTCGGCGAAGCACCAGCAGAACCTCCAGACGAAGCAGCACCCTGAGGCTCCGCACCTCCAGACTCCGCACCCTCCGACGCAGCACCCTTAGGCTCAACACCCTCAGGCTCAGCACCCCCACGCTCACCACCCCTAGTCGCAACACTCCCAGGCTCAGCACCCCCAGTCTCAGCACCC